CACACACACACACACACACACACACACACACACACACACACACACACACACACACACACACACACACACACACACACACACACACACACACACACACACACACACACACACACACACACACACACACACACACACACACACACACACACACACACACACACACACACAACACAACAAACACGAGATCACACACACACACACACACACACACACACACACACACACACACACACACACACACACACACACACACACACACAAGTAGACTAATGGTGTAACATGTTATTATAATGCATATTTTATGATTAGTTTCTTTGGCTAAACCATGTTTCCATTCATACCTCATGTGACAAATCACCTATTTTATTAATCAACATGTTTGCATAATCACATGTAGGAAAACAATAATAAAAAAGTTAGTTAGAGATGTAGGAAAACAATAATAAAAAAGTTAGTTAGAGGATATCGATTTGTAACAAAAACCATACCTAAATAAGAGAAACCCCACATATTGCTCTCACTCTCACCAATTAAGTATTACATCATGATAATAGAAAAAATGAGTTAGATGATTTTAGAATGAAGTTGTTATTTTATTTAATAATTGTCACAATTATGCAAACTCCTTCTCAAGGTTGTCATATATAGAAATGGTATTGCCATAAGAAATGGGAGAAAATCTTTTTTTTAGGAGGTTAGTCTATCATTTAATTTAGAGTATTTTCATTATTAACATAACATCTCATCTTATAATTCAACATTAGCATGTTTATTTTATGATTTGTGGTAACAATCTTTTATTTTTTATTTTATCTACTTGTTAAAACAAAAATATTATTTTAAGACAACAAACGATCCATTAAGTTTTAATAATGACAGACAAAAGATATCCTTTAAGCAAAGTCAACATTTTTTTTTAAGATATAACATATCAGACGAAATCTAGAAATTATACATATCATCTATTAGATTAAGGAAATCAGACGAAACATATAGTCTGTCTCATGACATCAAATGAAATACTTTCAAATACAAGTCTAATGTTAAATTTCATTTAATGTGTTATTTCTTAATAAATTGTTCAAGAAAGAAACTTCAGAACTCTCAAAGTATATTAAAGAAGGCAAAACGAAAAATTCAGTAAGAAACTAAAGGCAAAATCCTGGATATCATAAAAAATAAAATGAGAAACTATTTTAAAATAAGTTGCCTGCTCAAAATATTTAAAATTGCTAAAAGAAATAAAAAATTCCCACAAAATTTAAAAAAGAAAAGAAAAGTTATACAAAATTTATTAGATAATAAATCTTGCTGTAAAATGTAGTTAATAAATACTATTTAAAATTATATACAAGTGACATCACATTTTCTATGTTAATAATGATGAAAACTACGTTATTGTTAATAAATAATATAATTAAAATTGTATTATATTTTAAAAAATATATATTCATTTTTACATATTATGAAAGTTTTTCAATTATGTAAATATTTTTATAGAGATTTATTTGTTATTTTAATGTGTAAAATAAAATTAAAAGTAATTTGTTAAAAAAAGTTTTACATTTTATTTTATATCACATGTAGATAGTAGACACGAATGTTAATGTTATAAAAGTGTATGTAGATAGTAGACACGAATGTTAATGTTATAAAAGTGTATTTTCATTTTTTTTTAAGTGTTAGAAGACTAAAATAGACTTTTCAATTTTAATAGAAATTAATATGAAATTTTTATTAATAAATTATTTAAATATTTTATATAATCTGAACCGTTCATTATATGTGATGTAACAAATTTTTGATCACCGATAAATTGTCATATTATTGAATCAAGAATAATAAGAAGAATTGGTGTTGGAAGGTGGTGTTGGAAGGTGGTGCTATTTTATAGGCCGTAACTTCCCCCGCGGGCAAATGCAATAAATACAGCAGAAGGCAGTCGACACCGTTCTCAACCGACAACCAGTCAACCTTCACTCCTTCTCCCTCCTCTCGTGGCTCCGAGGCCAAGGCACCGCGGAAGCAAGCGGCTCAAGCAATGCACAAGGTCGGACATTCCGGACGAATCAACGCCGACCGCGAAACACTCTTCGTCACCTGGGCAACAAACCTCTCCAGTTGTTCGTCAAGGAAAATGCCTACATGCCTCAGTATCTTCAAGACTTTCGATCCCTCGGTAAGCGTGTAATTCCACTTGTTGGCATTCGCTTTAGTTCCGCAGATTAGGGTTTTGGAGTGTACGGATTGTTTTGTGATTATTTTTTTGCGATTCACAGTGCGATTCAAGCACCAAAACGTCTTGACAAAATTGCTTGTGCAAGAATCGCACGATTCTTCCCTAAGTCGCAAGTCTTGCGATTCAGATCCGATTCGTGCGATTGTCACTGCGATTCAAGCACCAAATTGTCTTCACAAAGCTGCTTAATAAAGAATCATACGATTTTTCTCTAAGTCGCGATTCTTGCGATTCAGATCCGATTCATTCTCTTTGGGGTTTATTATTGTATACACCCGGATGCTGTCTGTTCTCATATCATTATATAATTTGTTAGAGGGTTTTTTGTTTGAACATCTTTATTCGTTAGAACTTGTAGTCTTGATATGCATACCAATATTGTCTTTCCTTGTTTGTGGTTATTTTTTCCATCCTTTTCCAAGTGTTGATGTTATTGGTTAATCAAGGGTTCTATTACAAGAATAAAGCAATGTGTCTCATTTTTGCAGAACACTAGCAGGCCAGTCTCTAAAACCATAGCAAACCAGAATTTGGGCCTTCTATTTATCTGTGTTAACAACTATAAATCCTAAAGAGTAATTCTCTGTAAATTGATGTCTTCAATATGATTATATGAATGTCACAAAACATTTGCTATATATTTACAATTCCATTCCTACTGTGTAGCTTTTCATATTACGTCAATGATACTGTAGGTCCATAAAAATGAGATATGCAACAGGCACTATAGCATGACTATATATCGTATCTAGGTAGTTTTTCAAGAAAATAGTTCGTTGATACAACAAACAGATTAAGAATAAATTACACCCTAGGAATTGCACCTCTAACAACTAAGAAGTTTGGAAGGTTTGTAAATAAGCATTTTTTAATGCATATTTTAAAGTTTTATGTGTTTTATTATGATACGTGAATTAATGTAATAGACATTTTTTCTGTTGAGGGAAGAAATAATAGGTTATGAAGTGTGAACATTATACATCTTTTATTTCCATCTAAAACTTGTAAGGCACAATTATTCACTTCTGAATTCTGATTTGATTGGATTTGTGTCTTCTGGAATTAAGGGAGTGCCCATGGGATTGGGAGATCAGCTAGTTGAGTTACATCCTTGCACATAAATTTAGAACTGCATTTATGTATTTTTCTTCATGCCTTTGAGTACCAAGTTCATTGATTTTCTTGTTGGTTTTAAACCTTGCTTTTGAATGCACCTTGTTGAAATTTAAGGATTGGGCTTGATTTGGGTGGAAAGGAGGAAAGATATATGTGCATGATATGTTGTGAATCAGCCTGCGTAAAACACAGGTGTATGCTATATTGAAGAAACACAACTTAAAACACTCCTTTTAGATATAACAAGTCATATCAGTAGTGCCTTGTATGAAAAAGGATTGAACATAGACAAATAGACTTGAATCTAAGTTGACCAAGAGCTTTAAGCAAAACTAGCCTACCTGCTATAGGTTGTTCTGGCCAACATGTTGCTGGAATTAGCTGTTTTAAGTATGTTATCATTTATGTTTGAAAACTTTGAGCCATTTTTTAGTTATTTTGTCTTCTATAATCTTATATATATGCTGATGTGTAATGTATGTTGTTTGCAAATCTGCTGACAAGGGTTGCCTTTAAAAATTCTAAATCTAGTTTTACAATGTAGTGGCAGATTGAAAACCTAGCAGGCCAGAATTTGGGATTCTACTTTGTTTCTATTTTATATCTATATATCTATATATGTGTTGATTATCTAGGTATTTGAGTTGTGCAGGCATTATGGACACAGTTTTTGTCATCACTTCTGATTTCTATATGTAACATTTGATTGATATCACTGTGGCTTCTGCATTGATTTATCTGTGTCCTGCAAACTTTAATGTTTTGGTTTTACTTTGAAAGGCTTGACTAAGGCGTTTCTGTAGTGAAATTATGTTCTCTTGATTTTACAAATAATAGACACGATGCTTATTCTCGGATTCAATGTGCTGCTGCTCCACATGTCCCATTTCGCTAATAAAATCTTCAGCTAATTATGTTCTTTGGTCTCTGCAGTGTTTCCATTATTGCAAGTATAGGCGGGATGAATATGAGGCAGGATCACCCACCTTTGTGTGGAAGAGACCACATTGATTTTGATACCATGGCAGTTATAGACAAGTTTGGGAATATCTATTTTGTGTGGTTGCCATAATCTGGAGATGCATATGAGGCAGGATCACCCACCTTTGTGTGGAAGAGACCACATGGCCTATAGATCTGGTTATTTTCATGATAAGGTACCTACCTAATTAATTTTATGCTTTTTGTTCTTTCTATTAATTTGTTTTTAAAATAGTAAACACTGAAGTTAAATGATCACTAAAGCAAGAAAAATGTTGGAGTTACCTGGACGCAGGCTTCAACTGTTATTTAGAGAAAACTTGGTAATTTTGTATAAATTGTTTGGGTTAGGAGCATCTTGCCTTCTTGGAAATTGGAATGATAAGTTTGCACTCTATCTCTATCTTGCTGCAAGTGATTATATAATAAAGATAGAATATGGCTCTGACTGACCAGACCTAACAAAGGTGATTATCAAGTTGTTATAGTGTTTGATGATTCAAAGAGTTGCTATTGAATCATTGGTCACAATCAATTGAAAATGGGCGAGCAAGTTAGTGCATGACTTTGACAGACCCCTTTCCTGGGGGTTGGGCTTTATTATTATTATTTTTTTGCGTTTTAGTTTTTTTTAGTGTTTTTCTGGAGTTTGGGGGTTGGGGATTTTTTGGAGTTAGGGGGCTGGGATTTTTTGGGTTAGGAGTTAGGGTATAGATAAAAAAAAATATTTTTTTAGCAATGAAGGTAAGAATAAATTTTAAGACCATCAACCCAGATAAGAAAATATATGAACAAAATGTAAACAAAAGATAAACAAGTAGACCGAAATAAAATGAATACAAAGATTGAAAATAAAGCTGAGAAAATAAGTAAGAAGAAAAATAAGAAGGAAAACATATTGTTAAAGCCTTTTGTGTGAGGTGAGAAGAAATTATTGTTGAAATATTTGTAATGATTAGAGAATGACGATTGATTTTGAGAATGATGTAATGAATTTAAAGGAAACAAATGATAAAAGTTTAGATTATGAATTTAGTTACAAAATACAATATATTTTTTATATTAAACAAGTTTTATTCTTTAAATTAAAAAAATAAAAAATACTAAAAATCAAGTATTACTTAAAAAATTGAATTAGTCCAAATTTTTACCCTTGAAAAAATCTAGAGAAGCTTAGAAATATAAATTTGCAGTGTATTCTTTTTATATATATATTCTAGGGCTTAGGGCTTAAGAGTTCAGATTTTTTAGGGTTTAAGGTTTAGTGCTTAGGATTTTTTAGGGTTTATGGTTGAGGGTTGAGGGTTGATAGTTGATTGTTGATGGTTGATGGTTGAGGGTTGAGGGTTGAGAGTTGATTGTTGAGGGTTGAGGGTTGAGGGTTGAGGGTCTAGGGTTCATGGTTCATGGTTTTCAAGGTTTAGGATTTAGGGTACATGGTACATGGTATATGGTTTAGGGTTTAGGGTAGCGAGTATATGGTATAGGGTATATGGTTCAGGGTTTATGGTTTAAGGTGAGGGTGTAGGGGTTTAGGGTTTATTAATCGTATTTAATCGTTAGAAGTTGTAGTCTTATTATACATATTACATACTAATATTGTCTTTCCTTGTTTGCGGTTATTTTTTCTCATCCTTTTCCAAGTGTTGATGTTATTGGTTAATCAAGGGTTGTTACAAGAATAAAGCAATTTATTCTCAACTTATTTGAATTGTTTCGAATATGCAGCATTTGTTATTTATGAAGATTGTCTGTTGCTCTCATTTGTTACTTTATAATAATTTCAATTTAATCTTGTAATTATAAAGATTTTGGCTATTTGAGCCTTGTTGATGCTTCCAAAGTCATTATAGTTAAAAAATAAGTGCTCTAAAAATAATATAAGATTTTATGGATTTGATCAATATGATAGACATGCTCAATTGAACAGTAGGCTCTATGATTAAATTATAAACAATTAGTTATCTAATATTGTAAGAATGATTTTGAAATATGTGTACATTAAATAAGTATATGAAAAGGACTGTTACAAAGTAGTACGTCTAATATTCGTACATGATAATAGTCATTGAAGTATGGCCAGCTTCCAGTAGATCTAAAAAGCTTGAATGATTCTATAATGTTGGGTAATGACGATGAAAAACATGAGGATGTGGTTCATGATTATAAAGTTCAAGCTGATGGTTAATCTAATAATACACAAGCAGAAAATTACTGATTTTGTTTCAATGGAATAAACATGTGTCCACTTTGTCATGTTCTTGTCAACTTCTATTCTATACCTTTGTGCCAAATCATCATTTGTCCACTATGCATATGTATTTTGTTTGTTTCCTTTAGTTATCTATTGTGCTATAACTATGCTTTTATAAGAACCATTTTGAACATATAAGCATATGCTGCCCAATGTAGTTAATCATTATTTTATTTTAATTTCAAATAATACCCAGAGTATACGGAGTCTTCCTTGTTTCACATACTTGTTACGGACTACTTGTCCTACCATATCCTAGTACATGACATGGCATACATGTTCAGTAGTCCCTTTACAGGTTGAGGCTGTTTCAGGTCATATTTCATTTGAATGTGAACACCCCAAGTAGCTGTTTTATACCATGTCCTATTACTCCATCCCGTTTTCTTGTCCTACTACTCCATCACGTTTTCTTATAGAGAGTTGAGGGTTGACTCTATGCAGTATGTTTATAGCAGGTTTTAGTGTTCATGGGGTTTGGTGTGTTTGGGGCATGGAGATTTTTAGGGTTTCTTGTCTAGGGTCTAGGGTTCTTGGTGTATAGGGTTTAAGGCCTAGGATTTCTAATTGCATGTTATGCTTATAGTCTGCCTTTTAGAAAATGGTTAGCAGTAAGCATGAGGAATACATTTCAATCTTTATCACAAAATATTGTGCATGATTATCTGTTCCGCTACTTGCTCCAAAACCAGAGGTATGGAGTAGAGGGCTATGTGGGGTTAAGTGGTTGTTATCTTGATTAGTTGTTGCACACATAGTAATTTTTAAACTAAGAAAAATGATTATTTACTCTGATAGTTATAAACTAACAAGAAGCAGTCATGTAGGCTACTGTATGACACCGACTTATCATTCACATTTTCATTTTCATTGCTCTATTTTTATTCCTTTTTGTCTGTAATTCTTGTGTTTAATATATTCAGTTTAGCATGTCTGTGACTCTAACTGAAGCTTTTCTTGTGTCTCATTTTTGTAGAACACTAGCAGGTCAGTCTCTGAAAACCCAACAAACCAGAATTTCGGCCTTCTATTTATCTGTCCTAACAACTGAAAATGCTAGAGTAATTCTCTGTAAATTGATGTCTTCAATATGATTATATGAATGTCACAAAACATTTGCTATAAATTTACAATTCCATTCCTGCTGTGTAGCTTTTCATATTACGTCAATGATAGGTCCATAAAAATGAGATACGCAACAGGCATTAATACATGACTAAATATCATATCTAGGTAGTTTTTCAAGAAAATAGTTCGTTGATACAACAAACAAACTAAGAATAAATTACACCATAGGAATTGCATGTCTAACAACTAAGAAGTTTTGAAGGTTTTTAAACAAGCATTTTTTTTTTGCACATTTTAAAGTTTTATGTATTTTATTTTGATATGTGTACTACTGTATCAGACCTTTTTATGTTGTCAGGGAAGATATAATAGGTTCTGAAGTATGAACATTATTACATCTTGTATTGCCATCTAAAACTTTTCAGTTATTAACTACTCATTTTACTGGATTTGTGTCTGCTGGAATTAAGGGACTGCCTATGGGATTGGGAGATTAGCTAGTTGAGTTACATCCTTGCACAGGAAAATAGTACTGCATTTTTGTCCTTTTCTTAATGCTTTTGAGTACCAATTTCATTGATTTTCTTGTTTGTTGTAAACCTTGCTTCTGAGTGCACCTAGTTGAATTTTAAGGATTGGGCTTGATTTGGGTGGTAAGGAGGCAAGATATATGTGCATGTGATGTTGCGAATCAGCCTGTGTAAAACACAAGTGTATGGTATATCGAAGAAACACAACTTAAAACACTCCTTTTAGATATAAAAAGTCATAACAGTAGTGCCTTGGATGAAAAGGATTGAACATAAACCAATAAAACACTCCTTTTAGATATAGCATGTTGCTGGCATTAGTTGTTTTAAGTATGTATCATTTATGTTTGAAAACTTTGAGCTATTTTTTAGTTAGTTTGTCTGCCACATGGTAGTTGAATCGGGATATATTGTATCGGAATGCCTATATTTGGAATTGTAAATCGAATTGTATCGGGAATCGTAAGATTGATAATCAATAAAAACATAGTGTATATATATATATTTAAGTACTCAAGGCACATTTTAACATAAACAAACATGAAAAATGAAATCATACATTAATATATAGTTTATAATATATTAATATATTCTAATTTATTTATTTGTACATATATATAAATATTAAATAACTTATAATACATATAATTAATAATATACATATAAATATTTTCAATAATAAAAATTTATAGTAGGTAAAAACATAAAAAATTAAGAAATCAAAATATTTAAGGTGTTATATTACATTTTTTATTATTTAAAATATTATCTGAATTATAATAATAATAATTAATAATAAAGAGAAGTTACTTTCTAAAAAAAATAGTGAAGTAAAAGGCCCCTTAACCAAACCAAAAGATAAAATAAAACTTGGCCCATTTGGCCCAACTTTTTCGACCCTAATAATTTTCATGCAACCCTTCTAATGGTGAAACTAATGTTTGAGAATGGACCCACCTTTCTATATACTGAATTGCCATGTCAATTAGTTTTTTTTCCACATCGGTGTAGCACCTCTTCCTCTGTTTTTTGCTCAGTTTTTCAGTTTGCTTGATTAGTGTTCAAGTCTGTTAACATTTATAGTGGTGTGGTGATACCCTTCTGTTTATGTAGGTTCACATTTGAATTCTGGAATCCAGTAAAAAGAATACATCTGTTTTGCTTTTGGGTCTTGAATATCTTATCTAATATGAGAAGTTTTTCCATTTTGGGAAAATGTATCACATATGAACCCTAAAATGATGTCTTTGTCCCTAAATTCGAGAAAACTTCGTTTCTCTTATTTGATGAGTAGTTTTATCGACAAATGATGAATATGGGAGTATAAACCTTTTAAGGTTATTTCCGATCCTGATGTAAAAAAAATGTGGTTGTCTTATTGGTATGATATTTCAATTGATCATGAAAAATTGTTGGGTATATGAACCCTAAAATGTAGTGTTTAAAGCTAACAAAACATGGAATTAGTGCGTGCTTTTCTTGGCTCGGGGCAACCTGATGATACTGTTGAAAAAAAAGCAATGAGAGGATTGTATAATATATTTATGTCTGCCCAAAGTCAGTGTTGAGGTATGGTTTGGAGCCTTGATCTGCCTGACCTAAGTTTCAATGAATAAATGTTGATCTTTTAGTCCATCGCATGTCTTAGAAGTTGGCTTTTTGACTTTTTTAATGTTTTGTAACTACAATTCAATGTTTTGTAGATTGATTCAACCACTGCAAAAGCTTGCAGAAAGTCGCGGTATTGCTTTATTTGCAATTGACGAGGTACATTGTGTTTCTAAATGGGGTCATGATTTCCGTCCAGATTACAGGTTTGTTTTTTATCCCTCGTGTTACCTTATTGTTCATGGCTTGCTCAAATGAACTGGATTTGATGAGTTTACTTAGAACATCTTAAATGATATTGAATGTAACTTGTGATTTGCATATTGAAGAAAGTTAGATCAGTTATTGGTTATTTTGAGTGGTTATCATGCATATTTCATTTGTTCTTTGTTTGGTGCACACTTTACAATTTATTGTTTTAAGTCTATTGTGAATGTCATAAGTATGACCTGTTTTTAATTTTTCTTTTTGTTTTAGCTGACCGTATGTGCTGCGGGAAAATTTCAGTGCTAGAAAGCTAAAATCCCTAAAATTTGATATACCTCTGATGGCCTTGACAGCTACGGCTACAAAAGGAGTTCAATAAGTCATTTGAAAATCACTATGCATGTCAAAAGAAACGAATGTTTTTCTTACATCATTTTTTCAATCTAATTTACGCTTCTTGGTGAGTTTGTTAATTATAACTTGTACATTCATCTCTGAATATACAATCTTGTTACACTTTAGATTTACTGTGGCTTCATATAGGTAAAGGATAGTCGAACATCAAAGGCTTCTTATGCAAAAGACTTTTGTGAATTGATTGAAGTATATGGTAGAAAGCAAAATATTGATGGAAATGAAACGGCTTTCATGTCAAATGATTCAGATTGTGTTTCTCATGGCTCCGATGCTTGTAGTAGCTCTGATACAGACAATGTTTCTCATGATGACGTGGATGACAACCGAGATTAATATGCTTACAAAGATGATTTTTTAATGGGACGAGAATTGTCGGTTGAGTTCCTGGAAAATGATATGGATGTTGTTCAAAATGTGGGTAATTCAGATTGTACAAATGTTACTGCTATTACTGACTTTATCATAAATAATTTAGTTAAGAAATTGAATGCAATTTTGGTACAAATAATTAAGGAAATCAGTCACATTGATATGCATAATTCCTAATCGTATGTATTGTTGCATTTTATAAATGCAGTTACCCATGGTGAAAAGCCTCCTCACATGGGATTGGAATTACCTGAGGCAATTGATCCACCTAAGAAACCAGAAGGAAGACTTAAATTTCTTAAAGAGCCTTTGGAACACAGACCAGCTATCATATATGTATCCACCAGAAAAGAAACTTTGAGAATTGCGAAGTATCTATGCAAGTTTGGTGTGAAGTCTGCTGCTTATAATGCAGGGGTATGAGTTATGTATTATACTCTATATCTTGTTTGATTAGATGGTAGTGAATTAGAATTTATCAGGTTGATCATGTTAATTGACAAGAGAATCTTCAATTCTAAGACATCATGAATTACTAGGAAGCATAATTTTAAAATTTATTTGTCGTTTTCTCTTCTGTTTTAATTTCAAACTATTCTGGTATGCCCTTGGATTTCATCAAACCAAGCTTGATAATTGTCAAAGAAATGGTTGCTGCACATTCTCCCCACTCACTATTTGATTTATTTTGTTTGTTAGGTTTTAAACTAATTTATGTGCACAATCTTTTTCCAGCTTCCCAAATTGAATCTAAGAAGGGTTCATAAAGGGTTTCATGAAAATACTTTAGAGGTATGCTTCTGGGGCCTGAACTAAATATTGTGGATGTTCCACGGGAGAGGGGTTCAAAGAGGGGCTAAAGTTTTTTATTTGAATTGAGATGTCCAGTTATCAGATATGTATGATATCATTGCATCTTCTTATACATGTGGTGTGCTATTCACATAATTACTATATAAATGAATGGACTTTTTATCTGATTTTGATGAGCTTTCTGAGTTTCACGTGTTTTCAACTTTGCATAACAAATCTCTTCATCCCCCTTCCTGAATGTCATCTGACTTTGATGGCTTTGGCTGTTTGAAGCCCTGCCATGCTTATTATATTTTAACAAGGAAAATGACTCTAATTTTTATTACTTAATGATGGGTTATTTTTGTTTTATTAATAATAAGCTTGAGTTTGCATCTCATTTTGTTCTGACTTGAGTGTGAATTCCATGTTATTACTTATATAAAATATTCACTGTTTTTTGTAATGATCAGGCTTTGTCGAAAAGATTTCATTGATTATTTCTAATTACATCTCATTTTTTATTTTCTTTGATTAAAGTAAACTATACTAAAATATAATTTTTACCTTGTAATGCACATTCCCATCGTTCTTCTCTAAGCTTTTTGGTTAGATTTTAAACTTATATTATCAGCTATGGTGATACCTTTCGATTTGTTTCTGGGTTTTCTTCGCCTCCTCGTTCTGAAAATATAAGCTTTCGCTTTTGGTGGGTTCAATTTCTTATATAACATGGGCTTTTTGGTGAAGAGGCGTCCCCCTAGCCTGGGCCGGTGCAGGGACAATTACTATATCTACACCCCCACTTAATTTTTTTTAAAAAAAATTGGACCCATTTTCAAAATCATTGGATCAGATAAGCCAATAATTAAAGTACATTATTCAATTATTATTATTTTTTAAAAAATTCATATTATATATATTTTATATTTATAAATTTTAATAAAATACATATCATATCTTAAAAAAATCTTAAAAATATTATAATCAATATAATACTAATAAAACAATCAAATTATAAATTAGATAAACAACATAAAGTAATATAATATAAACAAATATAGTTTTAAATTAAGACATATTATATAAGTTATTTAATCCAATCATATGATTTTAGAACATGAAAATTTAGAAGTGACTAATATTTTAAATAATTACATTCACCTAGGTTTAAGTCTTATTTTCTTCAAATTTATCTTTATTCTAGTAAATTAACATGTGCAAATAAGGTAAATATTTATTACATGTAACTAAAACTTATAATAATTTATATTTTAATATATAAATTATATATATATTTTTTTAAATAATTGATATTGTAACACAATGTTATTTTATTTATTGATAATTTATTTTTAAAATATTAAAATTTAATTTATAAACAATTTTGATAAAATAAAACTAAATTAGATAAGCTAAAAAAATATTTAAAAATTATTTCTTTAAAATTCTCTTGTACAAGATAAAAGTTCATATTTAATATATAGAGATTGATTTGTATTGTATGAAAAAATACATTAAAAAAACATTCTGTTATAAAAAAATAAACATAAATATCATGTATAGTTAATGTTTTTAAGTGTGTATATAAATAAAAAAGTAATTTAATATATGTATGTGTATGAAGAGGGGTTCACTTACTTCTATAATAAATTTTGGTAGACTTATTATACTTAATAACTCATTTTCTATATTGAATTTTAACGATCCAATCGTTAAACTAAAAAATTTTAATATAGATCAAGTTTACAAATTTTTAAAACCTTTGAGAAATAATTTGACATTTCATTTCATTAATTCAAATTGATAGATAATCATAAAGTTATTTTATACATTGATTTGAATCTAAATAATGAAGTATCAAATGATTTTCAAAATTTTTTAAAATTTTACAAACTTGATTTATACATTAAGAACTTTTAATTTAACGATTGAATCATTCAAAATTTTTTTTTATGTAAAACATGAGTTATTGAGTGAAGTAAGTTTATCAAAGCTTATTATTTGCGTAACTGAATCTCTCATCTATCTATATATATAATTTTCTAAAACTTTTTAAGAAAAAACACGAGTCATGCATATCTTAATCAATGCAAAGAAGAAATTTTGGTACATATGTATGGCACCGGCAGACTTGAGAGGACTTGGTTGTTCGACGGAACATGTGCAACACAAACTTGAAAGGACTTGGCAAGACAGAGTCTCACGTGAAAAATTTAAAATTTTATCTATGAGACGAGTCATCTTTGGTTCGATCAGTAAAATATTTTGGTTCAACCCAATTTTAATCAGAGTTAATTACATCATTATCGGTTCACATGCATGATCGATCAAATAATTGAACTAAATTAGTAGTATGTCTGTTTCTAAGTTGAACTGGTCTAAGCTAGATTTTAAAATTAAGGTAACACTATTTTTTTAACGAGACATTCATTCCAAGATATCATATTACATGCTTGGAAATCACTTTTTCATAAATATTATAATAGGAATGTTATTCTCCAGTATATAAACATATTTAGTTATGTTCTAATATTTTTTAAAATATTTAAAATTTAAAAATAATAATTATAAAGAGAAGTTACAAATATATTAAGATGTAACTTCCATTATTTTCATGGAGATAAAAATGTAGATAACAAGATAGGACAACATTTTCAGGAATGAACAATAATATATGAAAATATTTTTCAAACCGTTTAACAATTACATTCCCATATTTACATTTTTGAGAATCTACTTTTAGTTTGTGAAACAACCCCATCCACACAAAGAAATTTATCTAAATACATTTTCCTATTTTATTTATTTTTTCAAATAATTTCTAACCAAAACACTATTTTAATCCCAAAATTGACAAATGTTGGCAAGTTAACCTTTGAAATTAAAGAAAAGAAATAAATATTTATAAAATTAAAATTTGCTCGCCATATAAGTTAGTTGACTATAAAAGAATGACAACAATAATACGTTAAATGGTTATGTGGCATTGACTAAATGTATTAAATAAGGATTAATTTGACAACATGTAAACCAATTAATAAAGACAAAAATGGCTTTGAAGGGTAATGTTCATCTTCTTCTCTCTTAAAATATTTGGATCATGCAAAACCTTAATCATTTTTTCTTTTGCAATTTTTGAGTTATATGATTTTGGACTTTGTGTCTTCTATAAATTGTGTGGTACTTTCCAAAATTTGTTTTCATTTGAAAGTTAGCTAACCTTCTTTACTATACATATTTTTTCACTTTCACTAAAATAAATATTTTAAATAAAATAATTGTTGTTATGATGCACGTATAGAAATGAGTAAAAAAAATAATTATGAAATTATGAGCATTTTAACTTTTTTATTGGTAAAATAAATTCCATTATAAGGAAATATGAACCTAGAGTATAAGGAATGCTATAGCTTGAGAAAATTTTCAGTTACAAACACAAGCACCTAAGAATCTCAAGATAATATTTCAAGGGAAATGATACTTGCACTTGTTGAGAATTATGCACCTTCTTTATTTGTTGAGAACTAAGTATCGTCCCTTGAAATGCAACCTTCAGATAAATAAAATAATGTTCTTATATTTTTATCTCCCTTTTTTTAACCTTTACATGTTGTTCTTATATTTTTCTCTCTTTTTTTTACCTTCAAAAGTTGATACTGTCCATAAGGCATTTGACCATGTTAAATTATGTCATTTGACCCTTAATAATTGAATATTTATTCGTCCTTATCCATGCTAGTATCCATTTGGCCTATATGGTACATATCCACCAATCCTCGAATTCATGCGAAGGAGGAGGCATAAAAGTCACAAGCGATATATTGGTGTTGGTGTTTGTCAAGTCGTCCATTTTTTAGCCTTTGAGTTCAATATCATTTGCCTTTAATGGTTTAGTGTATCTTTTTAGGAGAATCATGCTTGTTAGGCCAATTAATAATGATAACTTTCGTGTCTATTTGGGCATTATGCCTTGTCAGGTCATCATGTGTTACAATTGGGTGATTCTTATCCTCTTTGAAAGAAGAAATGGCATGATCATATTAGTTGTTGAATCAAAATGATTTAATGATTGTTGGAGGATTTTGTCTTTTGGGCTACCAACAATTTCCCCTATGAATAGGCCACTTGGTGATTTTGGTCATCACTACTCAAATTTCTCTAAATAGTTGATAGTTTTCTATGATTGTCATAAGTGTAGGCATGTCCTTATTTAATTTTATGGCTTCAAGTAATTTAGATAGTTAATGTGGTAAAATTGTGAAATTTTTTAAGTATTCGAAGTATTTTTGAGTGTTCGTTCGACAATTGGAAAAGAGCAGTTACAAGGATTCAGGGAAGTTATCAACACCTGTTTGCGGTGAATTTCGTTTACGGATCCTTTTTATTCGAATTAGCAAAATTTTCAATTTAAGTATGTGTAGCAAGTAGAATTTGTTTGCGGTTTTCTCACTTACAATCAACAATGAACTTCACAAATATGAAGATTAACCCTGATTGAATGAATTTTGTATGCGAGACTCTCAGATTAAATTATGTACATTCTTAGCATGCAACAAATTTTTCAATCATGAATCTCATTCCTATAAAATAATAGTGACTAAATTGAAATAAACAAGCTAAACTAGTCGAAATTCAATTTTTGTGTAATTTAACATGCAAAGATTTCAAGATGTTCTTCATAAACTACCACGAAGCAAGATTCATGCATATAAACTCTTAAGGTAATCAAATGAACGACACGTATATTAAACACAATAAACATACCCTTTGCTTCAAATATTTCATGAATAACAATACATAGGCTACTTGGGAGAAACAGAAACACTTAAAATAAAATACTCTAAAACTAAGCTAGGAAAGAAAAGAAAATGGCCAAAAAAATCATACTCAGCAATCTCATGCACGGGAGCCATGAACGTAGGCAGTAGGTGCGTATGAGCGTGTAAGTATTGAATTTCTGACCTTTTAGGATGAGTCTACCTCGTTAATTTATAGAAATTAGGGGAGAGTGGTTATTTTGCATTAGTTTGACGTGTAATATATAACTACCTTGCACTACGTGATGTGGGTAATCGTTCCCAATTGTTATCAACTTCTTACAACTGTCTTCCAAAATTTTTGATTTATTGAATAATTCCTTCAAGGCCGTCAGTTTTTACTTCAAAAAATGGTTATTATGCAGAGGTCTCATGCG